ACCTGTTTCTATTTTTGGTAAGATTTTATAAACAAACTTCCTAAAATACCCTTCTTTCCATTTACATCTCCCACCCACCCCTCAACCCATTTTCCCATTTACGTCTCAAATCTTATCTGTTCCTGTGAAGCTCCCACCTTCTCAAATATTCTTAGTTCCTGTGAAGCTCAACAGTAAACCTTATCTCGCTCCTCGCCTGCACTTTAATTTCGATCTCTCGCTCCTCCACCTTCTCAAATCTATGTTCTTCTTCTTCTTCGTTCATTGTTGAATTCAGATCTAAACTTAGATCTCAACTGTGTTAGATCTACGAAACTTAGATCTAAACTTAGATCTAAGGGACATCTGCTCCTTTTCAACATCTAAGGTTAGTAGGTCTGGATTTTTATTTAATTCTTTTAAATTTATCATATTTAATCAATTAATTTATGTATTCTTGCCCTTTGTTACAGATCGAAGGCATGGATGAACATAGTGAAGAAAATGATTTCTCATCTGCTTATAGCACTCCAGATTCATATGAATCGGAGCTTGAAGCTGTTTTTGATGAGATTCGCATTGAAAAACAGTTGTCAATGGTGCGAGAGAAGCTTGAGGTGTATTATACTAATGTCCCTGTTGCTAATACAGCCCCCTTGCTAGTACAGAGGATGTGGATGTTGAGGATGTGGAGGATGATGATGACACAGATTCTGACTCCTACATTTACGAAGAAGGGGATGATGTTCTATGGGAGTTGTTATTCTCGGATCCAAAGATGCGCCACAAGGACTTCTAGGGGAGTATTCCTCTCTTTCTTATGTGCGTAGAATATTTTTATTAAGTGCCTCCTTTGCATTACTCTATAGTTCAGATTATATGGGAAACTAATGATGATAATTTGCACTCGAATGTGATGCGTGGACTATGTGCTTGGTGTTTGTAACCTTTATGGTCATTTAGGGCAGTGTTTGTGATGCTTTTATAATTTTTTTTGGGACTTCAGCCANGAGGTAACATTTATGTATCCTCCCACTGTATCTTGTGTGTTTGGAGGTTTTAGAAAGAGGGCATCCATTTATAGAATAACCGCAAACATGTTCATTATCCATATATACATCCAAAATCCAAAAAATGTTTGCATACATTGGCTGTCCATACACACTGCCAAAAAAGAAACAAAAAAGTGCATATGATGAACATAGTAAACAAAAGACATTTGAAAGACGATATCACTTAGATTGTTCCTGATGCACTCCCTTCCCCATTTCTACATTGGACACCTTGTAAGGCATACAGACTTGACTCATAAAGTTCTGCATTTACATCCAGTTGGTTTGGTAGTGTACCTTCTCTCTCAAGTCTGCCCTTACCTATGTGTGCCAATTTATAGTTATTGCCTCCTTGTACTTTCAAAATCTCTATCATTGCTAACTGGTAACTGATCCATACATTATTCAGTTTCTTAGCATCCAAATTAGCATATGCTTCTGCCACATGTTGTACCAATTCACCCACATTTTTAGAGGCTGTCTGGTGTTGCAATGATTGTATTGATGCAAAAACCCCAAGTCTAAAATGTTTAAATCTGGTGAGTTTGGTGGCTGACATGTAAGCTCAATGTTGTAACCACCTACATTGGCTGCTTGCACAAACTCCATGTCATCCACAGCAATATGAGGCTTTGCATTATCCTGCTGTATGATTATGTGTTTTCTGAGTGCATCTGGTACTTTTTCCTTGATTGCTGGCAGGACTTTATGAATCATAAGTGCTCTGTACACCTCTTTGGTTATTTTGGGTATGGGTTTGGTCTCTAAAGTTCCTGCTGCCCTATTTTTACTACTCCTCTGTGCAGGAACTTGAATTGTTAGAGGCCAAATTCCAACTTTCCCATCCCAAATAACCTCCCCCTCGGGACCAAAGACAGGCCTGCCTACTGCACACAAGTGCATTAGTTTAGGAATGTGTGTCTTACTTTTAGCTGTCCTATGGGGCTCTCTTTCTCTCTCAGTCTTATACACTCTGAGGGATTGTTTGGACATTTCAAACCATTTCTCATCCACATGAATTGTACAGGAGAAATCTTTAAACAAGGGTGAGTGGGGAAGGGTTTCTGGAATCAACTGATTTAACACGAAAGCTAACCTTTTCAGCTTGTTTTCCTCTGTTAGGAAAGGCTTTATAGCATTCGTGTGACTTTGTAGTTGCCCTCCTTGTATGCACCTATGTAGTGTGGATTTCGGTACTTGTATAGCAGCAGATAAAGAACGTATGTTAGTTCTTCTGTGAAATGGAATGCCCTCAATCTGTTCCAAATTCAAACAGACCCTTTTTCTACCAACAACTCCTCTTCTGTTGTTACTTGCATCTAACACCGACCCGTCCATGAGTTGGTTACGACAATTACGCCAAAGAGAACTGACTGTTCTCCTGCACAAGTTAAAGTCGTTCATGATTTCTTTAATTGTGTCGTGCTGAAGTTTCCCTTTGCTTGACTTGTGTAGCAAGATGTCTAGGATAATTCGCCTTTCCACGTCGTTCAGATTTCTTTTGCTTTGTTTGATAGAAACACTGACTTCTTCTTTTTCTTCTTCTTCTTCTTCTTCTTCTTCTTCTTGGACAGGTGCACTGCTGGAGGTGTGTGGGTGAAGACATGGAGTGGAATGAAGAACTGAAGATGTCATGGCAGCATCTCTGTTCATGTTGTGGAATGAAGAATTGAAGAACTGGAGAGATTTTTTTTGCAGGATGTACTCCTTGAGTGTGCAGGATGTAGTCCTTAAATATTGTTTGCATTTGTGTAATTAAATGGAGGGAAATTTTCCCTCCAAGACAAAGATGTGATGTGTTGATGTGTTTGGTGTTAGATTAGATATTTGTAATGATTATTGTACTTGCAATGCTTGTTTGTGTTTTTTACTCCAGAAGTGGCAGTTTCCTTCTTATTTGTGTTCTTTACTCTTTTTTTTTTATCAAAAACACAAAAACTGCATAGAGGGGCAATTTTGGAAGGTTAATGCCATTTTTTCCAATCCTTAAATATACCCCAAAGTCAAAACGGGCGATATATATCGGGACGGAGGGAGTAAATCTTTTCATATGGTTTTTAAATAAGTAAATTTTATTTTTTAATTTCATACCATTTTCATGTAAAATAATTTGAAAATAAATTCAATCAAACATCATAACGTGCAACGGGAACTTTATTTATGGACAGAGAGAGATTAAAACTAAACTCCAGGGTCACATTAAAAACATGAGTTGAGCAATATGTGTAATAAATGATATCCCGTACACCACATAGGATTGATCCTTTTTTAGAATAAATTATATACTCCCTCCGTCCCCCTGTATTTGTCCACATTTGACTTTTGGAACTGTTCATCTAAGCACTTTGACTCATCAAATTCTCCCAATGTGTAAGCCTAAATATAGTCATGTGTGATCTTGTTTGATTTTGTCTTAACATATAGATTATTAATATATAATTTTTATAATTTTTTAATATACAAATTACAAGATAAAATGGATTAAAGAATTAGATGGTGTGTAAAAATGAAAGTGGACAAATACAGGGGGACGGAGGGAGTATTAGTTTGCTTATAAAACTCACATAGTAGTGTATATGGTAAATTATTTAGGGTGGGGTTCCCATGACATTGAAACCCAATGTCATGGGAACCTTGGTGAATTATTTAATGCAAAAAACATACAATGTATCACATGTAGAAGAACTATAGGAATAGAATTCTAAGTAATGTCAAATATACTCATTACATTCCTTCGATGTAGCAATGACCTTTGATCTGGTTGCATCAAGGAATTTGTTTTGGTCAGAACTTACAATGTTCTCACATGACAACTTAAAAGGTTGTGGACTTGTGGTTGAGACGGCCCGCCAAACATGTTAATATGAGATGCTCCAATAGACTGCTTGACATTCCAAAGCACTCCAAATCGATCTGACTTCTCTCAAAGGTAATTCCCTACATGTACTTGAAATTGTTGAATTAGATTAAATGAAAAATTCCATTTTATGAAACCGTGCTTTTAATTAGATACTCATGGCTCATGGTTAGGATGCTCCTCTAGAGATACGAATGGGATGCAAGCATTACACCATGGTTGTGAGCTTCAACTCTGAAATCATCTTTTGAGTCGCTATATAACACATTATTATTTTTAAAGCAACAGCATATAGTAATTAACATCTGCAATTAGTATTTAGTAGTGTCCGCCTGAATTACAAATAGGGAGGACATCTAAGAACATGGTGAGATTTCCTATAAAGTAATAAAACATGACCACAACAATGAGAATTTGCATCTTAATAACACAACTATGATGGAATGCATGACCAATTTGTCGGGCTCTCATATTCAAATGGAATGCTTATTAGGTAACTTACATTGTCATCATTTGATTCGTGAAACACCAAAGTCTCTTCTCTCTTGTTAGATCTCTCGACTGAGGATGAAACAACCTGAGTATCATCAAGTGGCTCAGTGTATCTTGAATAGTGGTGCTGCACAACTCATCAACTCATCCCATGACATGACAAAAAACATCTCAGCACCACACTACCCAAAATAAATAATTACTCTGTATATATATATATAAATAACAAATGAAGGGGTTCAGCAACAATGTATGCCTATACAGGCATGCAATCAACCGCTAGCAAAAGGTGGAAGGAAAACTCACCCAAAAAAAAAGATGAATACAACCTTGGATTTGCTTGGTCACACTTCCTATTTCTTTATATGAGACAACTGTCAATCCCACCACTCTTGTGATAGGAAAATGTGAGGTAACCCAATGACACATAAAGTTTGCCATGTTACCTTTTCAAAACGTAGCAGATATTGGAACATTTTTCACACATACAATCTAACATCTATGCATAAAATTTCTTTTACCTCAAATATGGCAGAAGGATCTAACAAAAAAAGTAGATTTCACAATGTAATACTCATAGAGAACATTAAAAAATAAAATGCTAAAATTGTAAGGTAACTGATACTTCTAATCATTCGATTATAAACAATATTATATTAATATGAAAACGAATAAAAAAAATATAGACTTAACTAAAGCGTGAAAATAAACTCTAAAGAATGATGAGTAACATACAAATCTTCGAATGTATCAAACAAATAAAGAATATCTCGAATGGCGTTTCTGATTTGGAGTATCAATGACATATGCTTATAGATATATTCATTGAAGGTGTGCCAAGAAGGTTTGTGATTAAATCTAGTTGATGATTTATATTTTAGCCAAGGAATATAGGCTCTCCACTTTGAACCTCAACAAAGCTCCATATATCAAAGGAGTATACTCCACTTAGAACCACAACAAATATACAGCCAATGCTCCATATTTTCATACCCATGCGATGCAGGGGCAGATAGTTTACCAAAATATATAATATTTATATATTAAGAGCATTTTGGTGGAGAGAAATATTGACATACAATTAATGTGGTTCACAATTCGGAATCAGATTAAGCCAAGACCAATAGGGATTCTACTCAACATTGATGATCTAATTGTTAAACAAAAAATAAACCATAAGTACTTACTTTTTAAAGTACTTATTAAATGCCAACAGTGCAAATATAAAATTTAAAGAACTAAGAAAGCATACTTCAAAAGAGAACTGCAGGTCACTGCTTGAAACCATTAGTCAGATGAACTCCACTTGCAATCTTGCATTAATCAAAATGAGAACGAACTAACTTCATATTTAATGTCCGGCTTCTATTTCAGCATAAGAATCAAATCGTCTAGCTTCTATTTCTACAGGAACACAATAAATCAAGAAAAACACTTGAGATAACTGTTTCAGTCAATGAAACAGACCTAGAATGTATAGATTTTATGCAAGTTAATAAAAAAATCAAATCCAGGCGATTCCTTGCTATTCTCTTGTTATGGGTTTGCTCGCATGTAATCTGCCATTGGAAGAAAAATAGCAGCATTCTTCTTACAATTTTGAATACCTTGATTCTTGAAAGGACAGCAACCCATGAAATTAATCAGACAAACAATGCCCTGATTTCTCATTTAATTCCAATTAATTTTTGTAAAAGACTAAACTTGAATGTAATTCAATGTTGTTCTTGTTGAAATATATAACGAATATATGAGTCTTTTTAGAACTGAATTTTTATCTACATTCTGCACAATTGGAAAACAGAACATTTTTACCATTTATGCTTTCCAAATTCAGAAAACGGAAAATGTGTTCACTTTGTTTTCCAAATTTGAAAATCAGAAAACTGTTTAGATAAATCAACAGTTTTGAGATAACTATTTCTACAGGAACACAATAAATCAAGAAAAACACTTTTGAGATAACTATTTCAGTCAATGAAATAGACCTAGAGCAGTTTGAGGAAAACACAACATTGACACGATTCATAGAAAAAGTAATTGTCAATTTCCCCAATGTAATTACACGTAATACAATTCTAATCAAGCCAGGATTCATAATAGATTATTTTTGGAAAAAAGATTTGGGGAAATCTAGAGCCCAGATTCGGAAGTGTATATGGGATTCGAGAGCCCAAAATCTGAATAAAAGAAGTTATGAATTGAATAGGAATTGCATATGAATTTTGGAAACGAACCTGAATCTCGAATTGACGCTAATGAATAAGCGGATCTTGACGCCATAGATTTCATAATTGACGCGAAGAATCCGCGAAGAATCAGCGAATTTTGACTTCCCTTCGATTCTGGTGCTGATTTCCTTTCCTTCGGCGAGATCTATTGCGAAGAATCCGCATATTTGTGGCAAAAGATTTGGCTCGGCGATCGCGCTTAGAGATGGGAAGATTGGAAGAATAGGCGTTTGGAAGTTTTCTGCAAATTTGTCGTATAAGTGGACGCGTGTAAGGAACCTTACGTGTAATCAAATTAGAATACTTTAAGTTGCCACATGTCAAATTTCTACACATGTGTAGTAGTACTGAATGTTTGATTTGAAAGAGGCGTTTGGTTTTTGGAGGCATCTTTATTCGGCGATGGAGTTTTAGCAGCAAGAACTTGTTTAAGTTCTTCTATCTCCTGTCGTTGTGAGCGACATATGGCGGATAGTTTTGCATATTTAGATTTTAGAAGTTATTTCAGCTTTCTCCATGTTGGCATGTGTCTGCTGCTCCTTCAGCTTTTCGACCACAGCCTCTAATACTTCTTCTTTCCCAGATTTCTTAGCATTGCCTTCAGAACCGTGTTCATTGCTGCTAAACTCCGCCACAAAAGCATTGAATGATTTATCTCTTTCATTATTTTGGTCAGAATTACCGTCGAAAAAAATTGTTTCAGAATCTGCAGCATCCCTTGCTCTGTTGACTGCCCTTGAAGAACTTGTTCTATTATAGTTACTCAATTCTTCATCATACCTAGGTCTAGTTTTGACATCTGGGACTACATTCTTTGCATGTTCAGTGTTCCAAAAAGCACCTAAAGTGTCATTGGCCCCATGCATCCCAGGGTTATGAGACTGTGGTGAATTACGGTTTGTCTCTCCAGCAGAAGGGGGAGGTGGTGGTGGAGTTCTTCGAGGTACTGGATTTGTCTTGGTTGCTGTTTTTGGAGTACCTGAAATAGCAACTGTGTCAACATTACAAAATATTCTAACTTTTCAACCATTGATGTTTAATCGAGTACAAAGCTAAGCAGAAAGGTTCAGTTGGAGATGGATAATTAAAATAACTGGATTTCAAAAAATGTACCCCCTTCATCTTTAAAGAAAGTTCCTACTTTCCTTTTATGCATGTATCCAAATCAAGTCATCTTCTTTATTTGGCAAAAAAATAAATTTACTACAATGTCCTAGTGGACCTTACCTACCATCATTTCTACTCCCAACCACTAATCTAAGGGGAAATTTAGAAGTCAAATAGCAGGAAAAAATTGTATAAATTTATGCCAAGCCACACTTAGAGCCTGAATAAGCATGAGCAGCCAAATATAGTTAGTTATCAAACAACCTGTAAGGTTCAAGTCATCGCAATATTACAACCAATTAATGGTTAAACGTTAACTCAGCATTGCTTTGTTGAAAATTCCAATATCCAGCATCCTAAAACAATGATCTGATACAAAGAGGGGAACTCACCAACGTGCAAATCAGCCACTTGTTGCATCATTTCCGGAGCTCTATCAGGCAATGATTTCTGTAGCCCATCGGGTAACAAATTGTTAGCACGAAACCACACCTGAGCCACAAAAAAAGGGAAAAGGTGTGAGAACAGCTTTAGAGAATAGTCGGCCCTTCTTACTTTCATGGGCAGCTCTGATCTACTAACTAACCTAAATTCATGCAAATGAATGTCCAATCGATCAAAGCGCTTGCCTGCGTGATATCTGGTCGGGCATCTGGCGAAGATTGTAACATATCCCGAATAAGGTCTACAATGGCGGTGCTGTATTTTGGTAATTCTGGAATGCGGTAATTCTCGTTCAAGATTTGTAGTTTTGATTCACCATCAAATGCAGGGGTAGATTGATTGAATTCTACTTAATTATTAGATCATTCAATTGATTGTCAGGGGTAGATTATACTCCAGGATTTAAAAAAACATGCTAAATTATGCTCTAGGATCGACCAAACATCAAAATTCTGCCATGTAAGGTTAAAATTAATCGACATGCTTCGAAAAATTAAATTAGAATCAAAGTCAAAGAATCTATCAGCTTTGAAGAATCGAATTGAAATCAAAGGCTAAAGCGATGCGTTCACCGAAAACTTACCTGTCTTGAATAATTGATGAGCAAGATCTTCCATATTCTTTTAATCGGAAATGAATTACCTTCTACGACCGAGATTTAAAAATGGGAATACGATCAATAACATGTATAAACAAACTTTTTAATCGAATAAGATTGGCATGTGAATTTTGGAAACTTACCTAGTCTAAAATCAAGCAAATTTGGAGAACGTCCTTTGATGATGGAGTCCATGATGAATTCCTTTCCTTCAGCGATGAAATCAAGTGAAAAATCCGTGTATTTTTGGAGAATAATCAGGGATGAAGGATGCGATGGAGATTTACGAATGGATATGCGAAGAATAAGGAATTGGAAAAGCCTTCAACCTAGAAAACATAAGAATGAGACGCGTGTAAACTGACGTGTCATTAAAATAAAACCCTTAAAGTGCCACATGTCATCATTCTACACATCAAACTCTCAAATTTTATATTAAAGGATTCATATAAATTGTTAATTAAAGATCCTACAATCATCTATAAGAACATAGTACCTTTATAATCATGGGAGTGAAGAATATATTGGGGAGGTTGAAGGCAATCAGATAGTTTTCTGCACTACTCAAGGTTTTCCATGGATGCATGTACCGAAAAGCAGCCACCAATGCTCTGCACATTCTCGAACTAATGCATCAAAGACCACTGCCATCTAATTTCCTAAATCCAATTTGACCAAAATAAACAAAATCAATAAGTGTGAATTTCAAGAAGAAAAAGGAAAGCGGAAGACGATTACTTGAACATGCTAACGGTAAGCCACATAGGGGTGCTCCAAACAGTGTGGAAGCAGAACACATGTTGAATTTCAATGTGCCAACAGATCCAAAGATTCTAGAGAAAACACTACTTCTAGCGCTAAGAAGGCCACGACGGTTCGAGTCAAATTGGGTATTATTCCTACTAACCCAAGCCAGGAAGCATACAAAGCACTTCTTGGACGAACATCCGCGAGCTGCTATTTTTAACCCTAGTTGAGAAGCAAACAACACACATTAAAAAAATTAAAACTAAACTCATCAAACTCAAGTGAGTGCAGACCTTTCTACCATTCAACTCATATTGAGTAATCATTCAATTCAAATCAAAATGAAATCAAGTTATTAACCCCAAGTGAAAATAAACTCAAATTAAATTGTTCAATCATTCAAAATCGAATTCAGTTTTGTAAATAGCAAAATATTTGATTTCAGTGAATGTGCAGACCTTCAACCATTCGACTTTGGTCCTTGGCTAGAATAAACACGAAGAGTAATTGAATAGCCTCGAAAATAGCAATAGCATAGCAGAATAGACTTTGCACCCGGTCAAAATCACCATGAAATCACCAATAAGTTCATAAGTGGATTACAAAGTATTTTATAAGAATAAGTGGAAGAAAATAGCAAACATTCACGGTTTAAAGCTACAGGTTACTCCTTTATCACTTTGGTTACTTTTAACTTGGCCAAATTTGCACAAACCCATATCAATCCTGTCCAATATGAATACATGTATAACAATAATAAGAACTTAAGTGAACTGCATAAATGCAAATCTAGAAAAAAAAACTCTGCCAGACGGTAATTTGCCCATTTGCAAGCAGTAAGTAGTGATAGATGTATACCTATCAAGCTGAGAACTCAATTTGATACTTGAGTGTCATGTTTGGGTACACAGCTCAGCTCCCTAGTGTTGTCATCTTCCACTGCTCCCATTTCCCTTCTCAGGAAATTCATCAAAACTTGATAGATGTATACCTGAAAGACACATTGAGGGTCTAATATAAATGCATGAAATCATGGATATAGCGCGGTAAAAATGAGCAAATTTATAATTACGGCATTGCACCATTCTTTTTAAATTGTAATCAGAAATATACCTAGTTTGACTAAAGTGTCTATTTTAAGCAAAACACCTAGAAATAGAACTCAAGAATCATCATCCTAGGAATAGATGAACTAAAATCAATGTTATTATGCTTTCATCTACCAAAATCCATGGAAAAATTGGCAATAATACCATTAATACCTGGATTGATGCCCCCTTAATTCCTCTAATTCTAACTTACCCATTTAGAGTTGGGTGAAAATCAATTATGTTCTTGATGACTATAAAATCGATAAATTTACCTACAACTTCCTCATCAAGAGAACATAGAGAGAAGCCCTTGATTTGATGGAGAACGAATGGCTTGTTCTTGATACTGTGATATACACCTCCATGATGTTTGAGTTGTGTGAAGCTTATTTGCTCGACATACCAATTGCACTGCCGATCTCCAAGCGGGACAGTCCAACAGCTTAATTAGGGATACGAATATAAATTAGGTATGGATCATAATTTTTATTTTTTCAATTAATTGAAGAAAGAATATTGGTATTAATCAACCCATGAATTTATGACAAAAAGAATTTTCAGGTAAAAATTGGGGGAAAATTGGGGTAGCCAAATACATGAATGTCGGCAATTAGAAGCTTTAAATCCCACCAGCAAAAAATAAATCTTTCTGTTTGATGAACTAAAATAGTAATTGAAATCGAGACAGCAACAAAAAATCCTAGAAATTGTTATATAATCCCAATCGAGATGGAGAAATAACTTACCGAAATCAACGCAGCTAGGAATCAGCCTTGGATAAGTTCTTTTGCATTCTAACCAAGAAAACGATCTAATCTGCAAGGATGCGGCCATATGCTTCCTAGAAATAAAGGTACAAAATAGAATGACCATCTCAGAATCCATCGTTTTCACGAAGTAATGTTCTTTTCCACTGAAAATACAATGAAAAAAGGCAACAAAATGGGAAGTATATTTTAAAAGGCCAGAGTTCAATATCAAGCAGTATCAAAAGAGTGTATGAGGCTCAGATTTGAATGCTGGGGATGATTGTTCCGAGTTCCGACACGCAATGGCTGCAGAGATGCTCGTTGGCATGCCTGCCCCGCCACATTACAGTATGCGTTGACCCAATCCTGATCAATTGGGTCAGCGACAAAGTGAACATTTTCATCATAGCCTCGTGATACGGGCTCTTTAGAATTTCGGCTTCCCTGATGAATACCAGATTTAGATTTCCAATGCGAGAGGATGAAGATCCGAGTCTGCTGCCGTCCACGGGAAGCCTATCGGCCAAATTTACTCTGAGTTTGGCCGCTACAGGGAAGGAAAAAAATGACGGAGTATTTTTGTTCTATCATATTTTTGGCATTAACGCAGCGAGGAATCAGCTTTGAATCATCCGTAGATTCCTTGCAGGTTTTCTTTCCTTCTGTAAAATAGATTCCCAGTCCCTCGCGAGAGAGAAGAAGAATAGGTTCTGGATCTTGGAAGGAGATATGCGATTTCCCTGGCAAGTAAAGAAATAGGCAATGGCAAGTAAAGAAATGGAATGTCAACACGTTGACGTGGCATATTTCAACCAATAAAAGCATATTCAGTCAGCGTGTGGCAAGTGAGTGGAATGGCATCTCGTACAATGACAAGTCATTATTTTTATCAATATTTATAATTTTTTAATGCATTTTAATTATTAAAAATAATTTCATTTATCTTTTTTAAATAGATTTACTTTTTAAAAAAACTTATTTCTTCTACAAAAAAACAAAAAAAACTGAAAGCATGTAATTTTAGACTGATTTGTGTTGATTAATTAATTTTAGAGTCTAGACACTTGTAGAAGGGCCGAATTGGAAGTATGATTGAAGATTTGAGGTCAATCTGAAATTTCAAAAAAATTTACCCTAATTTGTGACCCGACCCAGTCCTTTCTTCCTTCGTCCTTCGGCTCCAGTAGCAACAACAAACACCGGCGACGGCGGCGAGCACTCCAGCGACGGCGGCGAGCACCCCAGCGACGGCGGCGAGCACCCCAGCGACGGTGGCGAGCACTCCAGCGATGAGCAGCCCATTGACGAACTCCAGCAGCGAAAACTTCAGCAACCCACAAAAAATAAAAAAAAATACCTGAAAGTGCCTCGCGCCTCACACGCTTGGCGTGGAGGAAGGCTAAAGCCTCGCGAGGCAAGTTACGGAATAAGGTGACGTGGCGCAGCGAGTCGAGGATTTGCCTCGCCGATGCGCATGCTCTAAGCAGCCGCCTGGACCCTGAAGTGTAATCAAATTAGAGCCTTAGGTCACTGGAAATACCTTTGAAGCACAGGGGCTTCAAATCGGGGCTTCAAATTTTCTCTCTCTGTCACGTCAGCTTTAACTTACACCCAAAATTCACTGGAAATGGGTTTGAAGTCCCGGGACTTCAAACTGGGCTTCAAACCTTCATTTTTTACATTTTTAAATATACATCTTCTAAAATTAAATTAATAAAATGTAATTAATTTATTATTTAATTATATTGAAACACGAATAATAAAAAAATACATTCATTAAATAAAAAAAGCGACAATAATAAAAAAAAAGATACATTAATAAAAAAACTAAGGAAAATTATATATTTCTCCTTGATCTCTTTTATTCTTTGCTTGTAGAGCATTCGTCAAATCTCCGACAACGTCCCGCGGTCGGTTGCCATGACTTTCATCTCGGCCTCCTGCTCCTTTAGCTTCAACTCCTTCTCCTTTAGCTTCAACCTCTCTTGTTCTTGGAGATTGAATGCCCGAAGTTGTTCAACCATTTCCCGGCCGATTTCGTCGCGGGAAGAAGCGGAAACAGAGTCGGACCCTCCCGAAGCCGAGGCAATGGGTTTGCCTTCTTTCTTCTGATCGGCCGTGGAATGGGGTCCTCGTCATCGGAATCCGCAACGTTGAAGGGAGGGATTTGATCGGTCGAACCGATAGTCTCGTCGACCTCAACCTCGGTGTCGACGGAGGATCTTTTCCAGAACGATCCGCCGTCGGGATTGTTGAGTTGTTGCCACTTCGGGGAACGGCTCAAAATCCTCCAAAGATCGATGGGCACCTTGCCTTGGTGCCCGTCGTCTTGATACCGGGCCGTGGCAAGCCGGAGAACATCGGCGTCGTTCGTCCCGCTCCTCCGGGACCGGGAGCATTCCTCGTAAACTCCGATAAACTTTTTTAGGTGTCGTCCTTGTTCATCGCCGTGAAGTGAGTTGGTCCCGGGTTCGGTAGGTGCCGTCCTTGTTCATCGCCGTGAAGAACTTCTCCTCGATATGATCCCACATCGCATCTTTCATTTGCTTCGTACCTTTAAAAATATATAACAGAATTTTTTTAGACACGATTAAATATAATATATATAAATACAAACATAAATATATTAGAAAAAATAAATTTTTTACCAATGATAGGATGCTCGGAGACGTCAACCCGCCGACGACAATAAGCACTCCTCCTCCGGCGTACACTTTTGGATTGACCGTGCCGCCTCGGTCATCGTGCCTTTGGCTTTGGGGCTTTTTCAGCGTGTACTTTTTTTCGACCCGGTCGGTTCCGGATGAGTCTCCGGAACCGAATCTCGCTCGACGTACCCCGATTGTTGCGTCTCGTAGATCGGCGGTCGATCGTCCCACTCTTGGTACAACCACATCGCGGCGTCGCTCGGCGGGAGATCGTCGGGAAAGAAGCCGGAGCCGGAAGGATTCATGTTGAAAAGAGGGGGTGATTTCGAAATTTAAAATTTGGGAAGAAGAAGATTGAAGATGGAGAAGGTGTGAGAGATTGGGAGGGAGGGTTTGAATCTATAAGAATTTTTTTTGGTGGTATTATAGCCGTTAAGGGGGGAGGGGGAGAGGAATGACGCAGCGTCATTCGTTTGACGCAGGGCTGGTGACGCCCGGGTAACGCCGTCGGGGGCGGTGTTTAACGCCCCCGGGGCGTGAAAACCAGCATAACGCCGGTCGGCGTTACAGGTATACCGAGTGCTCTTAAGCTGCCACATGTCAAGATTCTAAGCAATCAACTCTCAAATTTTATATTAAAGGATTTTATTCAAAGATTGATATACAAATAAAATATAAAATTTACACATTTATAAAATATATTAAAAGTTTTACTATACAAGAAGTGACAAGAATATTGTATTTAGTCAAATAGTCATTTAAAACATACAAATAAACAAAACTTCTTACTATTTTTGAAAAATAAAGTGTGTAAATCATTTAGGGACGAGGGAGTATTAAAAAACTAATCATTCCGTCCTCAATTTGATTACATATTGGGGTTTACGAGGAAAAATATCTCACTTTTTTAAATCATTTTATTTACAAATTGGTATATTGATAAGAAATAAAAATTACATATTAAAAAACTACGCCAAAAGTTCTACAAAACAGGAGGTGACAAGAATATTTAATTTTATCAAATACTTGATGAAATCGCGTAAATAAACAAAACATATCGAGAGGAGAGAAAAAAAAAATTGTAATCAAATTGGAAACAGAGGGAGTATAACAAAAGTTTTACGAAACGAGATGCAACATGATCATATAATTTTATCAAATGAGTAACGAAAAAATAAACAAAATTTGACCAAATAAATAGTAAACAAACAACTTAAAATTAGACAAAGGAATATAATTTTGTATTCCATTAATTCTTTTATTATTTTATTGAAGTTCACAAATAGTATATTGGTGAAAATTATGATAGTTTTGTTTGTGTTGGGAAAAATATTATAGATTTTGATGATGATGTATTTAGATTGTAATAGGGACTTTAGGTCTCCCCCAATATTCAATGTAATTTTTCTTTTTAGAAATATTGTTAAAACCGAGTTCTTGAGATTTCCAATAAAGTTGTGATATTTCACTTTATGGTTTGATATCAATCCTTGAAGACTTAATCAAATTCTGTGATATGGAAATTGGATATCTTGATCGGAAATATCAGAGACAAGTAAGGAATTCTCAAAGCAGTTGATTACTTTGAAGATCCTCTAATCCGGAACACTACATGATAACCGGATGTCTCGCTACAACCCGCTGAAGGCTAAGTCATCCGGATTGGAAGACTAGCGCGGATCTCTTTCTCACCCGAAAGTCTATGAATGACTTTTCCGGATTTGTCAGCAAAGAACCGGATGGCTCAAGAAATACCGGAATTCTCAGAAGCAGACAAGTGAGAAAAGACTTAGAAAATTATCTAAGTCTTGAATGAAGAAATTCTACCCATTGGTAAGGAAAAATCAATCTCTTGATTTTCAACGGCTAGATTGAGGAAAATTAAGCTGATTCAAGAACAAATGACTTGAAGACAAAGTCTGGACTTCTCAAATTGAAGAGCTCGCCCAGAATTCCTAAACAAGCACTAGAAGACAAACTGAGTAAGGAGCTACAGTTCAGAATTCTTGAACAACAGCTAGAAGACAGATTCTGTGGAAAAAGGAATCCCTCCTCAAACAAATTGGGTATGTCCAAACACCCATTCCAATGAGGAATCCTCAATCACAATCTTCATTCAAAATTGAAGCCAGCAAATGCAACGGATAGTCTATTTTGATTCAACGGATAGATTACCTAATCCAACTATAAATAGCATCCTTGGAAAACTGGAGAAATATATGAGATAGAAAGCACAAAACACAACGAAGCAATCTCAAACTACAAAGCTATCTCATTCACAGTTAGCCAAAAAGTTTGATAAAGAGAGATTTCTAAACTCCTTATCCAGAAGCAAATTTCTCCCCCTTCCAAAGAGCTATAGTGTAAACACTTGAAGGTTTCGTTACCTCAAGTACCACACCACGTTGAAGGATACAACATTTAATCAAACTTCTTGATTAAAAAGGGGGGTACATCAACTTTCTTACAAGTTGATCTTGCAAGTCCTATTGTTCGGATCTTGCAGTTGTTGAAGAAGCTTGACCTTCGAAGGAACAACAAAGCCAGCACGAGTGCAGTAGCAACTTTGGCCTTGCGAAGATATACCGTGCAAAAATTCACACAAGTGTAATTGTTGGTTCATTATTCAACAACCAACTACATAGTGGATTTTGAGGACGTAGAAGGATTACCCCACCTTCGAACCTCGTTAAAGTTTGCGTGTCTCTCTCTTTTATCTTTACTCATACTTGCTACTATATTAACTGTGAAAACTAATCCATCCATATTAATTACTGCTCAATTACCCACCAACTTCCGCACACAATCTAAAGTTCACAAGAACTCTAGATTAAACACTGTTTTGAAAAAGAAACGAAAAAGTTTTTTAAATTATAACAAAGTCTATTCACCCCCCCTCTAGACTTTGTATCTCACCACTTTGGACCACCAGTTTGTGAATCTAACATTTCTCTAAAGTTTATGGTTTGTTTTTGCATAGCTTAGGAAAGTGATTAAAGAATGGTGTGATGGCGGAGGTTCATTTTCTAAGTGAAGTATGAAGTTTATTTTAGGATAAAG